ATCTAAATAAAAAAATAAAACGACTTATAATTTGGAATGAAGGGAGTAGCTATTAGCTGCATGGACCCAAATAGAACGTGAGTTTTTTATTGACCCGTTGAGGTTGAAGGGTGCTTGTTTCCTTTTGTATTTTTTTAAACGAAATTCTTTGCATTATGTACCACTACGTTTATATTTTATATATATTTTATATTTTCATTATCGAGGCAATAATCGAGACAAATATAACGTACAGAACGAACAAAAAGCGAGAAAAGACTAAAATCCACAAATTTGACATGAAAACGCAGCAGTTTGTACATTGGACACGTCGTGGCAAGTTATTCAGACCAATGGCGTGCCGCCACGTTCACAGGGAGCCTGCGTGGACAGGCCACGGGAGCACCACCGTACCACCTTTCGCGCATCAAGCACCACCATCGTACAATCAACGGCTTGGATAAGCCAACGTGGCAACAAAAATAAAACAAATAAAAAAAAGTTCTCCTCGTAATTAAGATGCTCAGAAGAGAACCCAAAAGAGCAGCTCGCCGGCTCCGCCGAATGGCAACTTCCCCGAACCCCACGACGACTCACCGAGCCGGCGCCCAGTGACCCTTCCAGAAGCTTCCAGAAGGTCACCGCCATGGCCGCGCCCTTCTTTTCCACTCCCTTCCAGCCCTACGTCTACCAGGTCCGCGCTCCTGCCCTCCCCTGGACGATCTGTCCTTTTTTCTCGAGTGATGATGGCCTCATCTCCGCGTAGGATGTTAGGGTTGGATTCGAGCTCGCGGGCTGGATCCATCCGATCCGCTGCTCATGGGCTTCGATTGTGTTTGTCTCGTCTGATTCGGTCTGAACTGTGTGGGATGGTTTCAGAGCCAGCAAGGATCTGTGACGGCGTTTCAGATATCCGGTGGAGATGTGCAGGTCCTGCAGGTAGTTTCTGGTGCTCAAATCTGTTCTGCACACTTGTAGTTCCTTTCTTCACATAAATTGAACGTAATCACTTGGAATTGTTGCGGGCAAATGATTTTTATTAGGTGATGCTGAAGTCTCAGGAGAAGCTGACTGCAAAACCAGGTAACTGGATTCAGTCCTTATGCTCTGCAGCTTGCCTGCTCAACTAAGTATCTTTGTTTGTGACCTTCAGCTGAACTAAACCTAGTAAATAGGGTGCTAACTAGTCATTATGTGGCAGAAATAGACCAGTTGTATGTTTTTTATATCTTCGTACAAAAGTATGCAGCTCTAGTGTCTACTTTTCCTTTTGGCAGTAAACCCTGCCTGTAACTCACAACGGATTAACCTTCTGGTAGGTAGTTACTGATAATGATAACCTTCTGGTCGGTAGTTACTGAGAACTATCTGTTACATACTTACATATATATTGTGTAACAAAAAATTGTGTCATATAGGCATATAGCCCTAGAAATTGTTAGCATGTGGATAGCGATTATTTCATCAGTCATCATTGTTGTTTTCTTTAGGTACAATGTGCTACATGTCTGGGAACATGCAGATGGACAACAATTACTTGCCTGAAAATGATGGAGGCGTGTGGCAGTGGATTTTTGGGAAAAGTGTAAGCAGCACCGTTTTCTTTAATTCTGGATCTGATGATGGATATGTTGGGATTGCTGCACCATTTCCTGGGAGGATACTGCCGGTTAGTATTTTGCTTCTCATCTACGTTTTAACTTTTCTCTTAGTATCACCTTTTCTTTCTTGTGCAATGTAGCTATGAGCTGCTACCCCTACCTTGCTCCCCTGTCTAACAATGCGATAATTTTCTAATGTGAAATAAATCACTATTGTCCTCTTATGCTAACAAATTCAAGACTGTATTTGTTAGCTACTTAGCTGTTGATTTTGGTGATTCCTCTACAACTTTGAAATTGTGATCTTTTATATGTCAGGTGAGAATTTGTTAATCCTCTTGTTGAATTTTAACCATCCACTTGAATACATCTTTTCATTAGATTAGACACCAACCTTTGCTAACCTAACTGTATGATCGTATACATATGATTACAAAGTGTTAAGAATACATCACAGTTTGCCATTTAGCTACCTCTTACCAGATTTATGTGAAGCATGCCTGCAGCTATGGAATGTGCTCAGTATTAGAGGCATTGGCATTATAATTGTGCATTGATATAGTACTTGAATTGTATCTTAGTCTGATCGTAGTTTCTTGCGTCTGTTACAGGTAGATCTAGCAAACTTTGGTGGAGAACTTCTTTGCCAGGTTAGTTTCTGTCTCAATTTGTTTGAAAATCAAGAGAACTTTGCTTGAAAATTAAGAGAACTTGATATGCTTAATTATTATCGCAGGCAGATGCTTTTCTATGTTCGGTCAATGATGTGTCAGTCTCTAGTACAGTTGAGCCAAGACCACGGAATATTGAGATTGGTGCAGAGGTTGGTTAACTTTGTTGAATTATATTATTAGTTTGGATATTAGTGCTTTGGATATGATGGGATCTGTACCGTTTTTGTTGTTTTATCAATGGTTTCTTGCTAAGTTGCATTCTGGAATTTGAAGCTCTACAAATTTTTGTTCCCAGGTGATCCTTAAACAAAAGCTTAGGGGCCAGGGGATGGCTTTTCTTGTTGGCGGTGGATCAGGTACAGACTGTTTTGCACTTGTCACATAGTGAGATAGATATCAGTATATGAGAATGCAATGCCATCTACAATGTAGCAATACGAATTGGATGGATGCAAAGTATTAGGCTTAAAAGATGAGCTTCATTGCTGTAAATGGTTTAGGTGTTTAGGATACACTGAAAGATTATATGATTTGTAGTGCAACATTAGGTTGGCACATTATGCATTAACAGATACGGATGTTGTTAACAAGGTAAACACTTACAGTGATATATAATTTAGTTTATGTGTACATCATTAGGTAACTACAATAATTTAAATATAGCAAACTGGCCACTCGGTACCTCAGTTTGTTTTCCATGAACAAGACATGATCTCATATCATTCTTTTCATTTAGCTGGTTATTCTTGACTGGTAACATGTGATGGGATGTGACTAGGATATTTTGCTATTCAATTTTCAGTCATGCAGAAAATCCTTGCTCCCCGAGAGGTTATTACTGTTGATGCTGCTTGTATTGTGGCTATGACAACCACCATTAACTTCCAGTTGAAGAACCCTAACCAGCTTAGAAGAGCAGTCTTTGGGGTCAGTATCATTCCTTCATGTTTCCTTGTTATTTGTTCATGCTCACAATCCCTAAGAAACATTCTCATGCAGGGTGATAACCAGCTAACAGCATCTCTCACGGGACCAGGTGTTGTTTTCATTCAGAGTCTGCCATTCCATCGACTCTCACAGCGCATCGCCAGGTATGATAAAGCCATGTATCTATTGCATTGTTCTTACTTGCCGCTGAGCGTGCATGACAGAAAGTTTATTCTTGTATTATCAAGCAGTAGATCAGTGGCGGGCCCAAGTTTGAGGGACAACCCAAAGTTCTTCATCCAGATTGTCATGTTCTTCTTCCTGGCCTATGTCATGATTGTATCATCCATAATTCTGACAGATGTTTAGGCGATTCAGCGAGCTTTTGATGTATTCCTAGACAAGTTATCGAAGAGTTAAAGCTCCCCAATGTTAATGTAGATGTAAGAGAAGGAATTTCACAAACTGTTGTTAGAAACCTTAGCTGAAAGTTCTTCAATTTTTTTAACGTTTGAAGGGGGGTTTCTTCGTTAGCGTGTAAAGAGTAAGACAGCAAAATCAAGTTGCACAGCATATGGTGAATACACAGCAACTTATCCTCCTCTAAACTGATGCTCTGCGTTTTTAATAATTGAATCGGTGATTTGGTTGGAGCAGTTGTGTGCTCTTCATCAGTCATGTACTCATGTTGAATGTGATGTATCATATCGAGATTTGCCATTCGCCAATGCAGGCGACATGCTTGCCTGTTTGTTTCGCTGAAATTTGGTTTATGCTGATTTGTTATGAGAGTAAAACACTGATCGCTTTCCTTCGAGCTGCTCTACCCTCGGGCGCTGCCGCCCGGCTACGGCGACGAGGGCGGGGTGTGGTCGTGGCGGGAGCTCCCGAGTCGCCCTTCAAGCGCGAGCACGTCGCGCCTCCTACAGTGCTACGCCGTGCATCCCGATGGGCATACCATCTTCGTCAGGCGTCAACAGCGAGAACACCACCTTCACATAATCGCCTTGGACACGGCGGAGCGCGCGTTGAAGCACGGCGGTGGCTGGAAGCGGCACGGCGAGTAGTCCGCCGCCACTCTCTTTCCCATTGTCTTATGTTACGGCCTTCTTCTTCCTCCGTTCCTTGCTGCCATAAGTCAAGAACCCATTCGACCACGGTTTACAGGTGATCCCCAGCCGTGAATCTCCGTCCGCCCATAGCCTCGTGGCTCGTGCCCTCGTCCAGACGTCCCAGCAAACTTGAGCGGCAGAGGGCCGAGCTCAAGACTCCAGTATGGAGATGCAGCAGCACGAGCTGGCGAGCTTTGGACCTGCAGTTACCGGTGCTCTCATCATCCTCAGCATGAGCTGCGCAAGCGGGCTGATCTACATGCTGCAAGATGTGGCTGCAAGTGAGCAGCAGCAGCACTGCAGCAGATGACGAGTCGAGAGGTACATGTAGCGGTTCTCGGAGAAGCGAGATGCAGAGTGCGTCGGGAAAAAATACAGGAGAAAGTAGGAATTCCCCGATGAAATACGGGATCCGACCTGTTTTGGATCCCCTTTTTGACGATTTTTTTTCTCGTTCCTGTTTCACGTAGGCGCTGAAACGGAGACACAATTTACAGAACTTGATTCGCAACGTTTTTATTGATATACACTGCGGACACAGTGTCATTCGCGTATTTTTACAAGTAGTAGTTCTGCAAGCGGACGTGGTTTTGCACGCAGGTTTCTCGTAGTAAGTAATAGCAACTACACGCGCTACTGCGCATCACGCAGGCTTCTCGTGGCACGCTTCCACTGTTCCTGTGTTCCACATGGGATAAGGCCACGACCTATGGCCTTGGGCGCTCCTGGTTGAGCCGCGCCGCTGTAGTCACCGCGTCCGCCACGCCGCCCGGCGTGGTCGTCACGTCCAGCTTGTTCCGTATCTCCGCGGACACCACCCTCTCGACGTCCTCCCGCGTCGCCCCCTTGTCCGCCGGCAGCCTCTCCCTCGCGTTCTGCACGTACATACGGCCACGCAACTCACGGTCACCACTGACAGTCCAAAACACTTCGCCTACAGGCTACAGCTGCGAATCGAGAAAATGACAAAAGCAGAGTAGCGATCGCACGCACCGAGAGGACGTTCCGGAGCTTGACCTTGTCCTCGTCGCGCAAGGCGCGGGCGTTCTGATCAGCCGCTGACTGCGCCGCCGCGGCCACCCCTCCGGGGATGGTGGCGTGGGACCCCGTGGCGCACGTCTCCGCGACCTGGATGGCCGCCGCGTCGCTCTGGTCGACCGGCCTGTCCTCCGCCATCGCGACCACGGCCTCCAGCGCGCGGCCGACCGTGACGGCGTCCTTGTCCAGCGCACCCGGCGGGTCCGTCATCGCCACCGGCGCCGGGGTCATCATCTTCGCCACCACCTGCCCGCCGATGGACTCGGTGACGACGCGGCGGCCCGCGAGCTCGGCCTCGATGACGGTGGCACCGGCGTCGGCGACGGGGCCCGTGATCTGGGCCTTGCCCACGTGGCCCGCGCTGGCGTTGACCGTCGCGGCGACTGTAGCACGGCGGCGGGCCCGCCCCTCTGCGTCCCGCCGAGCACGGACTGCTCCGCGGCCTGCAGCAGCGCGGCGTCCCTCGGAGCCACGCGCCGCTGGGCCAGCTCGCCTGACACGTCCAGCACGTCGCCGTACTTGACGGGCTGCTCCTGCCCGTGCTGCAGGTCCTCGGCCTGCTGCGGCCTCCTCGGCTGCCCCTGGCTCATGTCGATCTCTTTCTCCACCATGTTGCACCTACGTACGGCTGCTAGCTAGTGGGTTGCGTCGTGCTGAGAACCGGCGTCTGCATGCGTCCGGTCGGGTTGGTGCGCAATATAAAAGGTTGGCCGCGTGCTAGAGCGGCGGGTAGGGAGGCGCGAAGCGGAGACACGCAAGGGAGCCGGCGGGGCTACGTGTGGCGCGTGGAGCTGACTCCGTAGGCGCCGTGGCGTTTGGTTTGCGGGGGGGCGTTTTCCACGACTCGCCCGTAGTTCCCTCGCTCCGACAGGTGCCATCCACGCGGAACCTTGCGGAACGCTCGCGGTGGACGGGTGGACCCTCGTCTCGTATCCGTGTCGCGGGCAGTACACTGCATAAGCACAGCGCGGTGCGACGTTGCCATTTTGGGCTTTTGGCCGGCCATCGGATCGACCTCATCATGTTTACCTCTCGGCGTACGCGCTACAGACTACTCCGTACATCGCAGCGTGTTGCGTTTGTGTCTGAGCAGTTTTGAATTGTGAACGTACTGTAGTTTTTACTCTATTATCGAGCAGAGTGAATACGTCATTATTTAGCAAAGCCGTGGTAGAATCATTGCGACAAATTTGTTGTGCAAGTTCTATGCATGGCAGCAAGAACCGAGAATATTTCTTATTTATTTTCCACGCCACGAGCATATAGCGCAACGATTAATTCAGTAACACTTCCATTCAAGCATCGAGGAAGTCCATGGACAGAGTTTGGACTATGATCAAGATTAATCCTAATTAGCTGCTTAATCCGGAAAGGCCGTGGTGCCCAATTCAAGACGCGCACTCGTGTTCAGATTGTGCTTCGCCGCCATGTCCAGCGCCGCGCTCACCCCACGGGGGTTCGTCTCCGCTCGGGGGTCGTTCGCCGCCTCCGCCTCTGCTGCCGCCGCAGCGACCTCGCTAGTCACCGCCTTGCCCGTCGGCAGCTTCATCGTCGCCTCCCACTGAAAAGACAGACACGACGTCGGCAGCACGCCACAAAAATTTCAGAATCAACCGGCCCACACGCCTGGATCAGCCCGGCCGTGCGAAGGGCATGGTCAATTGGTCACCAGCTTACCGTCAGCACGTCGGTCATGGTGACTCTGTCCTCGTCGCGCGCGGCGCGGGCGTTGGCCGCCACCGCGGCCTGCGCGCGCTCGGCGACCCCGCCCGGGATCGCCCCGCGCCCCGCATCGCCGCCGAGGGCGCTCGCCTCCGCGACGCGTATCGCCGCGGCGTCGGAGCGCTCCACGGGCTTGTCCCCGATGGCCCTGGCCGACCCCTCCAGCGCCTCTCCGATCTTGACGCTGGTGTCGAACGTCTCGTCGATCACGCCGTCGCCGCTGCCGCCGTGCGCCAGCTGCTCGGTTACCGACTCCGTGGCGCCCCTCGGGGCGACGCGCTCGGTGTGGAACACCCGCCCGGGGTTCTTCGGCTCAGGCTGCTCGGGGAGTTCCAAGCACTCTATCCTGCTGGGTCGGGCTTCCATCGCTGAAGGCCCGGGGTGATTTCGCTGGGTGTCGTCGGCGGTGGGCTGTGGCACCGCTTTTATGTTGTCGTATAGTAGGACGTAGCAGTTCATCGGTGAAGAAGGAATGACACGTGGAGACGTGGAGGGCAACATGTCTCATTCCGCGTGGCAGTAGTTTAGGGCGGCGGGCGCGCCGGGCGGCCACAACAAGAAAGAGAGTCTACTCTGTGTAATAGAATCACGTAGGATATACTACTCCGTGTAATACTACTCCGCAAAAAAGTGATTGGAGGTATAAAAAATTTGAAGTGATGATAATAAAGGGAAATCAAAAGTCAAAAGTTTCAGTGAAATGTAGGGAACAAACAAAATTTCTATTGACATATAGAGAATTGGCTCCTATTTGCTCGTCAGTTCGTGCATACTGATTGATGATTGACTTTGTTGACGTTGCTCAAGCAGATGCAAAAGGTACACAGAATTTCGATCATTTGTTCTCGTGGGCCGAAACTCTTGAGACTTTTGGCCCATAGAAGAAAGGTAAAAGAAAAGGGCCAGTTACTGTGTCGAAGGCGATGGTCATAGTTGTCGGCCCGGAAGCCAGAGTCCGGATCCGATGGCATACGTCGCCGCGTCGCAGAATACCGTGACGAGTCGGGTTCAATTCCGTATTTCCGACAGGAAGGCCAGGGCGGCTATATATATCTCGGCCCATATAACTCCGCACAATTCACCAGCCCGCTCCTAATCCACAGCCGACGCGTCGCATCACATCGATCTAGAGTGTTTGTCTCGCCGTTCTCGACGAGAGCGAAGGGCGAGATGTTATCTCTACGGAGGAAGGACGAGATGTGTGACGCGACGCGAGGCGAGATGACGATCGATGTTCGGTGAGGAAGAGGGAGGCGAGAGGATGATCAGGATCCACCACTAGATTTAGGTTCTTTATCCAAGGTCAAATTGTACTCGACAAAGCCTTTGTCGAGTGCGACACTCGATAAAAAACACACGGCAAAAAAATTGATCGACAAAACCCTCTTTGCCGAGTGTTTTTTATTGGACACTCGGCAAAGAAAAGCGATCGTCACGGCGCCGGCCCCGTTGACGGTCGCTTTGCCGAGTGCCAACCCTGCAGGCACTTGGTAAAGATTTTTTTATTTTTTTAAAAAAAATTATTTGCCGAGTGTCCTCTATCCAGTCCTCGGTAAAGATGTTTTATTTTTTTTTCTAAAAATTCTTTGCCGAGTGCCCCCTGGCCGACGCTCGGCAAAGTTTGATTTTTTTAAAAAAAATTCTTTGCCCAGTGCCCTCTGGCCGGCACTCGGCAAAGTTTGAATTTTTTTTAAAAAAATCCTTTCCCGAGTATCATGGTCATGGCACTCGGCAAAGCTGGAAAAATGATTTTTCGAGCGCCCATTTTTCCAGCTTTGCCGAGTACTGTGACTAGGGCACTCGACAACGGGGTCCTTTGCCGAGTGCAACACTCGGCAAAGTGACCAAAAACGACAATTTTTAATTTTTTTTACATTTCATCATGACAAATAAATTCATACAAACATATATCACATATATATCTCATCCATCACATATATATCTCATTCATCCATATATCCATCCGCACATATCACATCCATCACAATATATATCACATATATAATAATAAGTGCTCAAGTCCATCTAAATAAATCTACAAGTCCATCAAAGTCCACAAGTACATTACAAATATATCACAAGTCCATCATCAAGTGAACAACAAATGAAAAAAATACAACGTGCACTCATCTCAACCACTGCGACTGTGGTGAAGGCCTAGCTCCATTATTCGGAGGTGCATAAAGTGGATTATTCGAACCACCGTCAGATGGAGACTGCATAAAGGAGAAAAGATTGCATATGAGACAAGATTTTTTGGATAGCTAATCTAGGAAGGTAGAGGCCATACAAGCAAAGCACAAGCAAAAGTAAAAAACTTTCATACTCACAGGAGTAGCTACAGCTGCAGGACGTGGAGATGGAGGTGGAACCAACAACCCAGCTGGCAGAGAGAAGCCCACACGTTGTCCAAGCCCTTATAGGAACTCCGTAATGTCCGTCAGCCTCTGCGCCTGGGCCTACCACTCAGCCCGCTCGGCCTCCAGCTGGGCCGCCATCCTCTGCTGTTCGGCCTCCAGCTCCTAACGTTGCCTCATTTCTTGTTTCAGCCAGGCCTGCAATATTTCACTCCAATGTTTCAGTAATGCAAAGCTAATTAAGGTGTGTAAAGATCAATATATGATGAGTAAAACAGGAATAACCTCAAGTGCGTCGACCCGGTGCTGTGCCGCGGTCGGCCGTGTGCGAATGGACAGGCTCTCGCGCATGCTCCGTGCTCGGATTTGGGAGAGAGAGGGAGTAGAGGCCGTGTCGATGACACCGTCATCAAGCCAGAACCGTCCATGCTTCTTGCCTTGCCCTACCCTCATGACGGCCTCTCCATCGAAGCCTTGGTGCTTGGATCGTGGTCTGGCCCATGGAGCGATCTCGCCACCTTAGTGTACTCACTGATGCGGGAGTGGACGCTCGGGTTTGTGTATGCCTCGGGCGGGTCCTCTAGGTTGAAGGAGACGTCGGACGTCGCCTTGCCCTTGTGGGCCATACACCATGCCTAGAAGTCTGAGCAAGCCAGACCACTATGTGACGCCGACTACGAGAGAGACAGCACGATGATTAGAAATCAGGCAGAACTGAGCGTCACAATAGATAAATGAATTCGCGTACCCATGCTTGTTTGTATCTGGCGAGGCTGCGGCTGCCTTGATGGTGTGCTGGACCTTGCATTTGCAAACGACGGTCCCGAGCATCCCTGTGCATCTTAAGGTACTCCTCTATGAACCACCTCTCCACCACCATCGCCCAGCACTCGGGATACGCTTGGCACCACCAGGGAATTATCTACACGTAATCAAGTATTGGACATATAAGAAGATCAAATTAAACCAACTTAATCTCAAAATGAATCAATATTGATGTTCTTCATTTACCTCAAGGTACTACTCCCGGGTCAGCTGCATCTCTCTTGTGTCTTTCTTGGTTTTCCTCTCTCCAAGCTTCGACCCGTAGTAGGTTACGATGGCCTAGATGCGCACCTCATGATGCATGTTGGTGACGAGTTTTTTACAAGCTTTGGTAGTCACCTGCTCCGCCCTAGCCTCAAATCCCTCCTCGCATCTGTAATAAGTCTGCATACAAAAATGATGTATCCATTCATTATTTCAAGAAAAGTCCAATGAATGTGACGTATTAAGCAATGTTGTGCGAGGGAGACTTACCCAAAACTCTGCCTTCACCCACGCCGCCTTGTTGGGGTACTCCGCATCGAGGGTGACGGCGTAGTGGTCAAACGAGTAGGCCGATTCCGTCTTTGATGCGTACGTGACAATGCCGGGGAAGTGTTGCCTACACAGAAGACCCAGGATGCCATTGACTAGCCGTGCGCTACCACCCGACACAACCACCCAGTTCCTGCACAAGTGATTAAAAAAAATTATTAGTTTTTTTTTCATCATATCATATGAAGTAGTGGTGATAACATATAAAGTTACTTACTTTTGCCCTTCGGGGAGAATCACTAGGCGTTGGTGAGGAAGTGGAACCTGTGGGAGGCTCGCGGGACCTCGCAAGTAGACACTCGAAGAGGAGTCGGAGGAAGCGGAACCCGTGCTTGCCGCCTCGCACTTGTCGTCCTCGTGTGGCCCCTCCTCCTCGTCCATCTACCGAACTAGCTCCTCGTCCGACTCGTCCACGGGCGCCACCTCCTCCTCCAGCTCCTCATGTGGCGTGGGAGGAGACGGCCCCCTCCTATGGCTGGTGGTCCTCCTCCACCTCCTATCCGATCCCTCCGCCGCCCCCTCCGCCTCCTCCTACAGCCGGCGTGGTCTTTGGTAAATCGAGTTCACGGACCTATGACGATCGCCCGCCATCTTTGTTCAATCACCTGCAATAAAAAAGAAAAACAAGACGTAATTAGAAATAGGTGCAAAAATGAACAAAACATAATTACAAAAAACATAATAATACATGTATTAGAAATATATGCAAAAATGAACAAAACATAGTTACAAAAAACATAGTATTACATGTATTAGAAATAATCTTCATGATTGAGATTAGCTGGATCATAGGTCTCGTCATCACTATCAACATTGTCCAACTCATCAACACTATCCGAAGGAGGAATGTTGTCTTCATTGTCATTGCCTAAACATAATCGCTCAAGCATTTGTATGTCCTTTAGATTTCGCACCTCGTCTCCAGCGTCCTTGTCATCATCCCTTTCATTGTCTACTTCCATTCCTATCTCTTCGGTTAAGTCTATGTCAAACCTTCTTTGTAGCCCCTCTTCTTGATAGAACTCTCCATCATATATGTTTGAGTTGAAGTTGTAATCTTCATCGTTTGGGACAGGTGAAAGCATCTAGGCCCCTAGTTGGGTTTCGATGATTAATGATAATACGTGATTACTATGACTAACGTGTGTTTTACAGAGGCAATTAAGTTAGGTCATGGTAATGGAGATCGATTGGGCAATCATGGTGGTCACGCCCCTACGATGGAAATCATTTTGGTTTTCAAAGGATGGACGACAAGGTTAAGGATGGACTAGTTCTAAGTGTCGATTGGAGTTGAGGAGACACTTAGAGTAGTTTAGTACTTTATTTTTCCTTTGGTCGTACTATTAAGGGGGGTATGGACGGGTAGCTTGACCTAGGTGAGTCTAGTGAGTTAGGTGTGGTGCATACTTGTTAAAACTAGCACTAGGTAGCTCCAAAATAGCCCTTAGATCCAATGGAGCAAACTTCATTCACGTATGATCGAGAGTTGGAAGTGAATGGAGGGTCAAATACTGATCGGATGCTGGCGCAGAGTCCGGTCAGTTCATTTGACTAAGGTGAAATCGTTTGGCGCGACCGGACCCTGAGAGGTGAAGTGACCAGACGCTGAGAGCCAGCGTCCGGTCAACTCCAGTAAGGTTCCAGAGA